TATCTTCAAACTTTTTCTTCTCTTTCTGCTCTATAACCCAAAACACAGTCATACTTGACTTTCATATCTAATTTTGCAGTCATATCTGACTTTGCTGCAAAAGCAAAGGGTCCAACGAGTGCGAAAAGTGGTTTAAAGACACCATATAACTCGTATCTGACAAGAATAAACACTGCCCTATAATATGATGGCATGACTCAGTAATATGAATACATATTCAAAATATACATTATTTTTCTATCTTTATGTCCAGGTGAGAGGTATTTAACGTACTTTTTTCACCTTTACACGTTCTTATGTAGCGCTGCAATTTATATGTATATATATATACGCCGGTTTTCTTTCTTGCTTTCAGAGCAGCAAACATGCTTTTTACACTCATATTATATTCGATAATTTTAATTCTGATTTTTACTTATATTTTTGTTCACGTTAAACAATATGAATATTTTAAAGTACGTCAAATACCCGGACCCACGCCATCCTATTTCTTTGGTCATGTGCGAACCCTATGGAATGCTAAATCTCCATCTCGACAATTAGTCGAATGGTCTAAACAATTTGGAAAAATATATGGCATATTTGAAGGCACCCGACCATTTTACATTGTGTCCGATGTTGATTTCTTACAAGAAGTGTTCATTAAACAATTTTCACATTTTTCAATTCGAAAAACGACCGTATTTACAAAAGCACTTAACAAAGGTAAACACATTCACTTGTTCAATGCCCTAGGCACGAGATGGAAACGTCAACGAAATGTCATAAATCCTACATTTTCTGCTATTAAACTAAAACAAATGTCACCGCTCATAAATGCCTGTATCAATGAATTAATGAAAAAATTACCCTACTATAGTGAAAAACATGAAGACTTCAATATTTATGCATTGTACAAACGAATGACCATGGATGTTATATGTAAGATGAACGTGCTTTATCAACCTGATATAATCGTGAGAGTGTTTTTTCTTCCAAAGGTCGATGTGCTTTTGGTGTTGATACTGATATGCAGAACAATCCAGATAACATCTATTTGAAAAAGGTGGCTCAAGTATTTACAATTGATATTCGGAAGTTGTCAGTGTTCAAACTGGGTACATTAGTTCCACCGTTGGGAGCCACTCTCGGCATTCTATTTTTATTTCATAACAGTGTTAAACAAAAATTGAATCAGCTGTTTCCATCAACTACCAAAAACTTAGAACAATCTCCAGTCTCCTGGATCATGGAACGCGTTGACGAAGTTGTTGAAATGCGATCAGACGTAGCTAAGCAGCGAGTTGATTTATTGCAATTAATGCTGGAAGCAGCAAGCCGTGAACATATAAAAGTAAATGATAGACCACTTCATGTATTTCATATAGTCTTTTCAACTCTATAGGATAAAAACGGCGATATCGATGATCAATATATTGCAAAAAAATTGACGTACGATGAAGTTATTGTTAACGGTTTCCTATTTATGGTGGCGGGTTATGAAACAACATCAACAGCTCTTGCCTATTGCACATATGTTTTGGCTAATCATCCAGAGGAACAACTTAAACTGCAACACGAAATTGATGAATGTCTCTCACAAAATGAGGATGGGAAAGATCCTGACTATGATGCGATAAATCAAATGCCATACATGGACATGGTCATCAAAGAAGTACTTAGGATGCATCCAATAGCAATATCAGCAGTTGTTAATCGTGAATGTATACAGGAAACAGATGTTTGTGGAATCAAAATAACTAAAGGTAAATAAGAACTCACCAGAAATTCAATCGCAACGAGGATCTCAGCAATTCATGCTTACTTATTCAACATTAAAAGCGAAATCTACACACAATATCATGCATGAATCATTTGAACACCTGAAAATTGGACTGTAAGGAACTAGACATCTAAGGGAAAACACTTACCACTATGCCTCTAGATGTAAAGCCGACAAAGAACCAACAAAATGTTTATATTAACGGCGCCAAAATACAATGCACTTGCATGTTTTATAAGTAACTTTTGATAGAAAAGAGCTAGAGAGGTCAGATTTTCGCCATTCGAACGGAAGACTTGGAGGCATGTTTTCCAACCAGAATTACCAATATTATTTTCAGAAGAGTTTTCTGAAATAGGTAGGAGATCTGTGGAAAAATAGGCCGTCTGTAAACGTTTTCAATACGATTGTATTGCTTTCTTTCCATGGGCTGTTCTATTCAAAATGGAAGTGAAGTGCGATCTTGTTTTTCCACGGTTCGGGCGTTGTATCTGATTTCCGACTAGTCCTAGGACAGGCATCCGACGACTATTGGTAGCCCTAAAGGGGGATGATTGAGTATACTGAGTCTCGTTGCAATATTTGTTTGTAGAAACAGTTTTAAAAATCTACCGAAAAATCAGTTTTATTGAAATTAGAGCTTTCAGACTGTTTTCACCTAATATTAAAAACTTCACTGTTCGCTCAAAAAACATCAGAACAAGTTCAAAACCACAGGATATGATTAATATTACGTCATTAAAAGATTGAAAAAAAAACGAAAACTATATTTTTGCTAATAGGTTTTCCAGAAAAGTTTTGGATAACCTTAGGGTTTTTGAAATTTTGTTTTCGCACTCGTTGGACCCTTTGCTTTTGCAGCAAAGTCAGATATGACTGCAAAATTAGATATGAAAGTCAAGTATGACTGTGTTTTGGGTTATAGAGCAGAAAGAGAAGAAAAAGTTTGAAGATA